GAGATGGAAGTTACTTGAAACGCCCTCTCCACATGCCAGTTGGCGTGGCCCAGAATAGAAGAGGCTGGCGACATGCAATTAGGGAACACCTCTCAGCAGCTGTCCGAGATCCTCCTTTAGGACTGCAGTCCTAGCTGCTGCAACCACGTCTACCAGTTGCAGGAACAACCCAGAATGCAGCTTTGAATGACAAACCCTCCCGCAAGGTCCATCCTCATCTGCCATAAAACACTGAAGGGCCTGAAATTTCCTGTCCAGTTGCTAAATTCTCTTTTCCAGTCATAAAGACTTTGGAATCACTACCAAAGTTGGAGACTTTGATTGAGATTTATACTGCATTTGGTTGTTTTATGATCTGGGCTTGAACTGTTCTAAAATCTGCATGTTACACTGACTGACCCCGATGTGAAGCCGCAGCATCTGTCTGTCTCCAAGAGGAGGGGGCAGATGAACCCTCACAAGAGAATCCCACCCTTTCTTCCCCTGAAGAACAGCCCCACGGAACTGCTCAAGCAAGCGCTGCCTGGCAGAAGCCCAGAGAGAAGGTGGACCGACACCCCAGATTTAGCCTACCCCACTCCCTACAGCTAAGAAAGAGCCTCAACAGCTAGCTGGGAAAGTCACCTCAGGCAAACTCACCCACGTCAGCGGCCGCTCGGGTCTTGTTCAGCACGTAGGAGTGGCTGGCAGGATTTTCTCCCACTAGAACCACGCTGAGGTGGGGCCTTTTGTGGCCAGCAGCAACCCACTGTTCCACTTCGTGGCAGGCTTCTTGCCTAATCTGCCGGGCCAGCTTCTGTCCAGAAATGACAACGGCTTCATTCCTGCAAAGGAGGAGCTCTTCAGACTTCCCAGAATCGAGCCTCAGTTTCCCTAAGCAGCCCAGGCCATTTGTGCACACTGTCCCCAGCTGACAGACGTGGGGCCAGATAAAATGAATGCCTCCAACGCCCACTCCGAAGTGGGTCTCTGCAGGAGGAGGCCACACACAGCACCTCAGCAGGAAGAAGGCGGCTGCCCAGAGGCTGGTGCAACTTCGGAGCTGAGCCCCAACTGGGGGGGGGCTGAGCCAGGACGCCCAGAAACCTCCCTCTGACACTGCGAGGTACCCCCTTCCACAGCCTGTGGCGTCCTAGGCAGAGACGGCCGAGAGAGATCTGAACCAGAGACCGGAGGCTCTAATGTTTGGGTTCTCCTGGTACTGAACTTCCTCTTTGTTTACTATCCTGCTTTCTGGCGTATGCAGGTTTTCTCTACGAACTTCCTACAGGAGCCTTAAACAGAGCTTTGCTCTCCTCCTTCTGAGGTTCCCAAAAGCTGCCTTCCCCACTGAGCACCTGTTCAGCCAAGCGGCCACTGGGCAATTCAGGGACTTCTGTGCCGGAAAGTCTTTCAGACGACCCCATTACTCGAGAGGGCGAATTGTCGGGACCAGAGCCTGCTTCTTACTGAGGGCCTTGAGTTGATCTCCTTGCAAAAGGCGCACAAGCCAAGCGACCCCCCCCTTCCCCCCCCCGGGCAAGGGAGCTCCAAGGGCGGCGGGCGGGCGGGCGGCGCGCCTCCTGCTTCGGGGGGCTTTCGGGATAACGAGCTCCACACTTGCAACTAGGCTGTCAAGGTTGTCCTGCCTCGGGGAGGTTTTCGTGGGGGCGAGAAAAGAGAAACGCCCGCTGGGGGAATCCGGGGCTGGGCGCGCAGCGCAGGGAGCGAACGGGGAGCTCCGAGCCGGCTCCCTTTGCCCGGGAGGCGGGCTGGGACTGGCACCCATCGGCCGCAGCCAGGCTCTGGGCAGGACTCGGATCCGCCAAGCACTCCCGCCGGGCAGCCCGGTTCCTCCGCCGCCTCGCCTGCCCCGCAACTGCCGCCGGGGGAGGAGAGGAGAGGAGAGGAGGGGGCGGGCGGTGCAAGCAGCCCGCAAGATTTCATCAGCCGGCAGCGCGGCGAGCGGCCACTAGGGGGCCCGGCGCGCTCCCATCCTCCGCGAGCCCAGCGCGGCTCGGTCGCCCCCGAGAGGCAGCCGCCGAAGGACCGGGAGCCCCGGGCAGCGCCCTCCGGTACACCGCGCCGGGCTTCGGAGGCTCTCCCGGCGGAGCCCGGATCGCGCCCCCTTCGCTCACCTGGCAGCCGTCAGGTGCAGGCGGCGCGCAGCCCTCGGCAGGCGTCTGCAGCCGCAGCCCCCTCCCAAAGCGGCCTGGGCGGAGGCTCGGAGGAGCAAGCGCGGGTACCCCAGAGGCGCCATAGTCGCTGCGCGAGCCGCACAGAAGCCGCCGGCAGGGGAGGAGCGGAGCAATGGCTGAAGGCGGGGGGGAGCCCCCTTATAAAACCTCCGTCGGGAGACTCCGCCCCGCACCCGCGGCCCCATTGGCTGAACGGAGAGGGCTCTTGCGTAGGTGATGACGCCCGCGGGGAACTCGGCGATTGGCGAAGGGAAAAAGTGACGCAGCCGACGGACCGGCGAGGACAAAAGGCGGGTCGAGGAGGTCGCCGTGAATTTTGATTGGCGAAGCGGGGCAAGCGCTGGGCTCATTGGCTCGTGGTGCCCCTCAGTTTGAGCCGAGGGATAGACTGCTCTTACACGCGAGGCTCCCGAGAATAGCCTTGCCGGGGAATGCCCCGCAGGGATCTTACGTGCCAAGTGATTTCCTGTCTACAATTTGCAAAGGAAATTACCGGAAAGTTTTCTAAGGCTGCCTTGACAAATCGACGCTGACTTTTAGTGTTAACGTTTGTTTCAAAATGTATAAATTTTGCAATTTCCTGTACATTTTTGCCATGTTAACATGACTAATTCCTAAGCCGTTTTTCTCCTTCTGAAAAAAGGGACAAGTTTTGTCCTCCTCGACCTATCAATGCTCCAAGAGTTCCTAAAGATGATAGTATATATAAATTTTAGCCGTACCAATCAAGAAAGGAATATTACTAATAGTAAATGACAGTGGGAAAAACCTTGAAAAATATACTAAATTATTGCACCAAAAACAGTAACCTAAGTTTGGCAACATTACTAGATAATCTCTGTTTTAAAAAAGGCTTATTTAAATTTTCACGCATAAATTTGCATGACACCAAGCTGGTGGGAAGAGCAACCATTCCAGAAGATAGCTCAAGATCCAGAAGGAACTGAACAGACTTGAACACTGGGCCCTATCTAACAAATTTACATCTTTAGTTGAAAGTCAAAATATTGCCTGTTGAACTCAATATGATGGTTAAAGAGCCATATTTTGCTGGATAGTTGTGGTCTGTGTCAAAGATAATCCAGACTTATTTATTTATATCCCACCTTTATTGTTTTTTTTCAAATAACACAGTGAACACACCCACCTTTCTCCCATTTTCCTCACAACAACATCCCTGTGAAGTGAGTTGGGTTGAGAGAACAACTGGCTTTATTTATAGAATTTATTTGCCGGCCATCTCATAGCAATTAAAACTGGGGAGCTTCCAGCATTAAATGCTTTTCATGACTAAGGCTAGGGTTAGACTAGAACTCACTGTCTCCTGGTTTCTAGCCTGATGCCTTAATCACTAGATCAAGCTGGCTCTAATAATTCTGAATAGTTTCATGGACTGAGTAAACTACACCAGACATAAGTAGAAGCTGAAGCCTATTAAGAGGCATCTTTAGAGACAAAGATCCCATAAAACTGCAGTATAAGCTGTAAAATACACTTAATAGTTTAAAAAAAAGTCATCATCCTCCCTCCTTCCAGGAAGACTAAAACACGATTAAGGACCATGATGGAAGCTCTGTACATTATTCCATAAGTAAGACAGTTTATTGTCACAATGACCTCCTACAAAAACATAGCTGTATGATTTAGTCCTTCCACATAACAAAGTATGTCAGGGCAACAGTATTTGCATGAGTGTTTATAAGCTTAGAAGGGATTAGGAGACATTCAGCTTGGAGGTCTCTACTTTATGAGAGTTTGCAGATCACACAAAGTTGTGCCTGTGAATACAGCTCTATTCCAAACTCTCAAATTATTTCCCTGAGCAGGCAGCCACTCCTGTAGGGGATGACTTCCTTGTGTGAGTGACTAAGAAGAGCTACAGAGGATGCAACCTCTCCTGCAGGAGGGTGGAAGAGACCTACTCACACAATACTACACTCCTGCCTCAAAATATTGAGCCCCAATATGGTGCTTCATCTTTACAGGCCCTGTGTAATGTTCATACCTTAACAGATGCTGTTCATTAATATCAGTCTATATTATATTTGATGTAATCATTAGGAGTCAAAAACGATTTGATGCCACACAATCCATCTACCCATCCTATGTTATACCCGGTTCAGAACCACAAAGTACGTATGGGTCAGAAAGCTTAAGTTACCACTGCTCATAAGGGCTTTTATGTTTGACATGTTTAGTTCTCTCAATTAGTGGGAAAGAAAAATAAAGAATACTATTGATATTAAAATAGTATTACTTCTAAGAGGAATATTTGTAAATGAACTTGATTATTTTTCTAGCTTCCCCACAAATGTACAAAAAGAATACCACTCTATTAAGGAAGTATGATTCTTAAAGCTATGGCACCTTTCAAGTTCTTGTACAGTGCTCAGGCTAAGTACAAAATACAGGCAGTCCTTGGTTAATGATGGTAATGGACTGGAATTGGGAATTCCACCACTACATGACTCAGTCATAAAGCATGCCTCCAGAAGCGGTGAATGCTCCAACACTGGAAGTTTTTAAGAAGAGACTGCACAGCCATTTGTCTGAAATGGTATAGGGTTTCTTGCCTGAGCAGGGGGTTGGACTTAATGACCTCCAAGGTCCCTTCCAACTTTATTATTACATATCTCCTCTCATCAGGGCATGCGGCCGCAAGCGGCTGCAGAAGAACTCGGGCAGCGGCACGATATGTGTCAGGGTGTGAGAGGCCTGCCTGTAGTGGTCCTAAGGTAAAACATCCCCTGAAAATAAGATCTTATGCCTCTTTTGGAGGGAAAAAAAATAAAAGACCAGGTCTTATTTTCAGGGAAACACGGTAATATTATTAGCATTCCCCCATCAGAAATTTCAACAAAAGCAGCAGCAATTTATGTTATGTTTCAAGTAAATTACCATCTGAACCATGACAGAGCTTTGAATTAAAAAAAAGAGCAAGATAATGTTGCAAATATTTTTTCCTATTTTTCATTCTTGGCTTTAATACCATGGATAAGGAGACTTTCACTATAACTTCAGCTAGTCTTTTTGAAAAAAAAATATCCAATACAATTAAATGTTCAATCTGACATAAATATTGCTGCGGAAACCAGGCATTGGTGATTGGAAGGGGGGAAAACAAAATACAACCCACTGTTTTTAGGATTTTCCAGTGAGCATCTTCTCATAACTTCTGAAAAGCACAGTTTTCGTGTGCTATCAGTCAGTTCTGTGCTTGGGAACAGAAGTGAATATCCGCAGTCCATGCATTGTTTTAATTTCTTCACTTAGAGCCTAGAAGAAGGAGGCATTGTAAACAGCTATGCAAACGAAAAAAATTATTTCAGGCACAAACTGGCAACATATAAAATATATAAGCTATCAACTCATAGGATAAGAAACAAGTCCAAATACTAAATATAGCAGCTTGTACTTTATTTATAACAGCATTTCCAGGCCACTGTTGAGAACAGAGCTCCTCCCAACTAAAACTAGGACATCCAAAGAGTGTAAAAGAGTAGCAAGAGAAGCATGCATGAGGTCTGGAGGAGTAAATAATTGGAAATGCTTGAAATCCAAAGTTCCCATAGAATTCCCATAGCATGAAGTTCCACCTGCTTACCTGATTGACCATTTGGTGCTGCTGAATTGTTCTCTTTTCCTTAAACTCTTCTGATTCTATATGTATTTCATACATTGCTCCACAACCACCTTGACAAAATGAGTTAATTTTATCACATTTAGGGATTAATGTGCTCCAAATATTTCAGCTGTTTAAACTTCATGTTTTTTAATCTTATTAAGACTATTTTAAGTAGAGATCATGTTCCTATCATGGGAAATAAGTATTTCATAACTGAATATAGAAAGCAGTAGCTCACAAGCAGAAAATCACAAAGTTATTTGTAAATTTTAACTGTAAGGAAGCATATTTTGAATAATATGAAGCTCATTTTAGGTATCGTTCAGACTAATGTTTACTACAGATCAGCTGGATTCTCAGTTAACACAATACCTTTCTTCAAATCTGACGTTGCAGCAAAATGACCACTCTGAAGGTAAGACGAGAGCTCTGGCCGCAGAATCAGCAGACAAACCCTCCATTTCATATCCAGGCCCGGCACGAAGAGCCTCACAGAAAACCCTCAGAATACCACAGAGATCTCAGGAGAGACGCCTCTCCTTACCTGAGATATCGACGACCTTGACCGCAACAGCGCGAGGAAACTTCTCCTGAAGGACTCGCGTCATCCGAGTTTCCCCCTCGGTTTGGGAAGCCAAGGATCGCCCTCCGCGGCACAGAAGAAAAGCGACCTGGCGGGAAACGGAAACGACTCTGGTTAGCAGGTTCAGCTGGATCGAAGCCCCGGGGGAGACGCTCCTCCGCGCCCACTCCGGCCCTTCGGTCGCCCTCCGCGGCTCCCTGCCGGGCACCCACCTTCTTCCGGCAAGCAGGGAACCAGGACCCAGCGGCCATGATGCCGAGATGTCAGAGGCGCCGACCGATGACGTAGAGCTCGCGTCCTCGCCGTCAAGAGGCGTGGCTGAGGGGCGCGTCGGTGACGTGACGGCCGAAGGGCGGCGGTGGTCCCTGGCTTGCTGCCCCTCGCCGGATTTCTGTTCTGTTCTGTTCTATTCTGTTCTATTGCAAGGAGTCCAAAATGACCTGAAGGGGCAACTTTCAAGCATATATGTGACATACTAATAGTCTTTCTAGTTTCTGTGTCTTAACTAAGAAATATTTCAAATTAAATATATGACACATATTACATGTATTTGCAATTTACTCATATTCTTGTATTGTGATGCACAAATTTATATTTGGTTGCACCATTTTTTTCTACACATGGCATGTCGGAGAGCAGGGGGTTGGACTAGATGACCTCCAAAGTCCCTTCCAACTTTATTTTTATTATTATTATTATTATTATTATTATTATTATTATTATTATTATTATTATTATTATCATCATCATCATCATCATCATCATCATTATTATTGTAGTTGTAGTAGTAGTAGTAGGTAGGAGGAGGTTTGTGCATTAATTTGGTGATAGTCTTGGAGGAAGCTCAGAAGGGTGACAGGAAGAGAGAGATACAGGTATAGAACCAGAGATATTCACATATATATTGAAAACAAAGCCATTCATAATGTGTTTTTATGTATTGGTAATATCTAGTTCCTATCCGATTTAATGTCTTGAAGTATTAACATCTATCTCCATATAAATAAATAAATTAAATGAATGGTGATTTTCTAAGTAAATATGTGGCCTGCAGGGATCCTTATGTAAGGTTTAATTTTCTATTCAAGTTTGTGTTGCCTGTAGATCACATCGTGAGTGGATGTAAGCTGAGGACATTACCAGTCCAGTATCTGATTTTAACACAAACAATTCTGTGCTTCAATGGTTAGATGGCCTAGACATTGATATTTGAACTGAGATCTTTTTAACATTTAGATGTTACTGTGTTTCATTAATCTAGATGAAATGTTTATATTGTTAGTCCACGTATTATATGCCCTGCCCTAAATAAATGCTATTGAAGCTTGTCACCACTGATATCGATGATGGATTCTGCAGCCTGTTCACCAAGGACCAGATTTGCCTGGCTGCTACTGGCAGATGCAGGTAGAAAAATAAAAACATTTCACCACTGTAGTCCCCATGATGTAATCCCTAATAGGGGTTCTTACTCATGCTGAATCAGATGCACACCTTTCATTTTCCTCCAGTTATGATCCTTTGGTCTCTTCTTGCACTTCACTTCCTGAAGCTCCTCAGTAAATCAGGATGTATCTTGGGATTGCCTCCCAGGGAGAGGCCATGTAGGAGCAATACAGTCTCTTGCCTACTCTAGGCCATAACCAAGGCCTCAACCAAACTGCCCACCAGACCCTCAGAAAAAGGCCCAAGCTCTCTCTAAAAGGAAACCAAGTCCATCAGTTGCCGGGACTGGGCAATAAAACAGGTCCTGAAGCCTGGAATGTCATGAACCTCCATAAACATATGGGCTTTTTGGCTAGATTCAGAAGATGAATTGTCTGCTCTTGTTTCTGTTATAGCCAAGGCTAGAATTAGCTAAATAAGTAATAGGTTCACGTGGTTTGATTAACTACTGCTTACTGAAAATCACAATTGGCTGAGATCACAGAGCACACTACATCACAAGCCTGCAAACTAAATAAACTTATTGTGTCATCCCAGACTGACTAACCATTAGCTTTAAGGAACCAGTTGCCTGTGCTTGGTTCAGAACTGTTTCACAAAATGATTTTGCCTGCACATAAGTAGTGAAGACCACCCTTGCAATATGCCTTTCGGTTGGTGAAAACAGTTTCATAAATAGCCTGTCCTAGACCCTGATCAAATTCAACTGCATTTAGTATCTTGCTCGTCTTGGATTTGTAAATGGATATACTTAAGTGTTTAAATTCAAAATGCCTTTTAAAAGACTCTTAAATGATTGGATTTTTTAAGGGGGAATGGGTTGAGTAGAGTCTAAAATACTAAGATGAACCCAAGATGGGACTCAGTGCAGCCAGAGCGCCCATGGAGTGGTGGCTACCAATTCAGCCACGCTGTTGACAGAAGAAGGGCTGGAGATTAAGATAAGGGAAGGAGGGGGAAGCCATTTCTTGTTCAGTTGTGAGGAAAAATAAATGACAGAGCTAAAATAAAAATGGAATGGGATTGCATGAGAGGATAGATCTGTGGGCCATATATCCAGAACAGGACAGCCCTGTATTTGTTGACTGAGAGAAAAACACACAGAATTTGAGTGCAAAAAATAAATATAAAATTTATTAAAACACCCACAATAGTTTAAAGATATCCGGAATAATACATTTCACAAACCAGTTGGCTGTGTAACATAATAAAATACAAATTAAAAAAAAAGAAAGTTTCATACTTGCCATTTTTTGCATCCTAGAAATAAATTTGCCAAGACATTGATGGGGGGAAAAGTATGAAAGAAAAAAATACAAGGAAATTATACAAAATAAAATTATCAGCATAGACTTACTGTACTAAGGTTATCTACAGTTTAATACACAAGTCCTATTGCCTTGAGACATTGTAAATCTACCGTTTGTCAACCAACCCCAGATAAAACTTCATTTCAAGTAGCCACAGTCAAATCAACAAAGACATCTTCAAGTGTGGTCGCACATTGGCCTCCGCTGGAGGTCTCGTTTACCCAATATGAATTCAAGGAGACAAGAAATCAAACACCGTGAGTAGTCACAGCCTTCGGTTAACTAAACTGAATTAGTCTGCCAAATCTAAACTGGTCTTTTCCTCATTGTTTTAAATTAAAAAAAACATTTAAAAGACTGATATAAAATGTGTTTAAAAGACAGATATGAATGAAAAATAAATGCCAAAAGCCAGCTAAATAGATATTTCCAGAAACTGAATAGCAGGGAGTAAATCTCCAAAAGCGGGAGCTAAAATGAGAAAAAGCAACCAAAAATTGTTTGTAAAATAACAATAAATCCCTGATACTGGAGCAGAAGAAAACATAGCCAGTTTGCTTTACTATGCTTGGGCAAGAAGACAAAGAATAATATTTTTTTTAAAAAAGCAACTCTTTTGACCATGTAATAATCATCTTTCTGCATGCAAAAACTCTCAATGCATTCATTGCTTTTAAAAGGGACAGCAATAAGATTAGTTTGCTATTCAATGTAACAGCTACATTTCGCCATTTTGAAAACAATGTTCCAGATATTAAAAGTGTAAAATGGTATCATTTAAAGGTATATTTCACTGAAGCTTTAATCCAATTGGATATATTGCTAACGAACATTTGCACACCAGGTTAAATTTTGTCATGATCATCCTGCCCTGATCTTGCTTTGATTTTACTAATCAGCCACGCAGGGATCACCAGATGGTAGCTTTGAAATGTCATGTCTTTTTGTTTGTGCATGATAATAAAACCAGGATCCTGTTGAACCTGCCCCATAAACTTTTATAAGAAAAATGTTTTTGCAGAAAAAGATAGAACTTTATGCCAAATTTTTATTTTTAATTAAAACAACTATTTTATTACTGATCATATTTTTTTAAGATGTTACTTCTAAAACTATTTTCTCGTGTTGGTCACATTCTGCTATGAGGTACTTCAGAAAGGCCCTGCATATTGTCAAGAATGCACCAGCTCTTAAATGCTTCTAGAATATTCATTCCTCAAGATAGTTCATTAATATTGAAAGTGAGAAATTGCCCAAGAATAGAATGCAAAAGTACAGTTACTAAGATGTCAAGTACAGTGTTGAATTAATAAAATACATAACCTTATTTCTAATATTTGCAGCCATGCCATTATTTATAACTGAATCACAGGTTGCCACAATACTCTGTTTTCTGAGGTATTTTGAATGTATTGTGATAACAGCAAGCTTATATGAGAAAATCCTGGTTCTCTACACTTTAAGCAAATTCTATGAACCAAATGAAAAAGAAACTGAAGAAATGAAAAATAAATAGCACCAAAATAGTATTTTGTAAAAGTTTTAGACACATCTACTTACAAATAGTAAATACACAAAGCCATAATAGCAGGTTGAAGCTGACTTATTAGACTAAAGATTAGGCAACCTTGTATGATCAGACCCACATTCACACCACCTGCCCAAACCTAGCCTGCTAACAGGCTGGACCCTTGACTGATATTGACTTCCATAAATATGTTCACACTGAGGTGTAAATATGGTCCCGCAAGGACTTTTCCTTGGGTTAGGCAAGCAGAACTGGGGTGACAGCCCTAAAGTGTTTGCTGTTAACAATGAAAGCAAGCAAGCAAGCCAAGTAAGATGACAACTGCACTGCTTTTACAAATAGCTGTTCTCTTGGAGTGACCTCAAAACTTCAATTAAGCACCCATAGTTTTGCATAATAGTTACCAATATACAGTAATATGGATTGTTGCACCATGCACACTTGCTAAATTGGCACAAGTGTTAACTGTGAGTACAGTTTGCAGTACCTTATTTTCTTTATTTTAAAGAAATGGGTTTTCATTTACCCATTTGTATCAAACAATTTGTGGCTTGATCCAAAAAGCCCTTTCCAGAGATGTTAATTTTGTAAAAAAATACACATTCTCAGAACCAGCCCTAGGAGTGCAGAGCTGTCAAACCAGAGAAATCTATCCTGGATCTACATACATGTAAATGAAATCAGATTATGCAGTTGTGTATTTTAGATCTAGAACAGAGGTTTTAGAAACTACAAATATTTAAAATACTCAACCTTTCTGTTTTTAGTTAATTGTAACTTCTCTGGTTAGATAATAGCACCTAAGCAAGATGGAATCTGTTCCCTCACCTTAAAAAGCAACTTGTTTTTAAAGAACTCATCAAGGTAGCACCTTTTCATTACAAGATTTTAGTTGATTAAAAATATGCCTTTGAATGAGCTACAAAGCACATTCTGGCATTATGCACCATCAGCTGTATTATCTCAGAATATTTTTTGTTCCTTCCTCTT